AAAATAAAATAAATAAAGATATTACGATAAAATCATTCCTTTATTTTTTCGGGTCAGAAAAAGAGACTTACAATTTATCGGAAAACTCAAACTGTTTTCTCATTTCTGTTCACTGCTGTCACTCATTTTTTGCAACAACAGCGTAATTTTTCTAATTATTTCTGCAACAAAGCCGCACAAGTGCACAAGGGCTAAACGGCTTTTTCTGGACCGGTGACGTCAACCGGTCCGGCCCTGCACTCATCAGCTTTCACTATTGTTTCCTATGGGATAGCGTGAGCAGGGCCGTACGAGTCGTATGATAGTACCTCTTATTAACCGAGCTCAAAGTCTTTACTGCAATAAACAGACTGAGTTTTCCGCTCAGACCTATGGCCCAAATGCTATGCGCTCAGGTCATGAATCTGAACGGGAAACTTGGTCCGTTTATCAAAGTAAGGACCTTGAACTCGGTTAATAAGAGTTATTATTATATGGCTGTGTCTCACAAGGACTGGGAACAATCGAATTCACGAATTTGATTGGCTGAGATCAATATTGAAAGCGATCTAGATTTTCCCATCTAGACCGGCATCTAGACCGGTCTAGAAAGGAAAAAAAGGTACAAAGAATATAAAAAAAAATTGGTATATAAGACACAGCCATATAATAAACATCTCATGAACCGAGCTAGGTCGGTCTGTATGGGAGAATCCTGTCCTCGCTCGCTGGTACAGACCTCACTGCGTTCGGTCTGTACTGGCGGGCCGGACAAGATTCTCCCATACAGACCTCCCGCTCGGTTAATAAGAGCTAAATGTCCTACCACTCCAAGATTATGGTATTTCTTTTGTTAATGCCATTTCAGACCACCAATTTGCTTGGCGATTTGCTTGTGGTTGTACCAATTATTCCTCACCTATTACGTGTTTCGAGATAGAGAGTTCCCAGATGTCACAATCACTGTCGACAACAGGCAAGTTTATACGAAATAAGTTGGCATTTCAAGATCTCTTTTTTGGCAAGGAGATGGAACCGGGAAACAATATGATGTGGGCCCCTGACGACAGCGTATGTTGCACGTCCGAAAGAAAGCTAACGTCATGCGCGTGTGACTGATATCGCTTGCGCGTGCAAATTTAAGTTGCTCATGGTCCCTTTCACAAATCCCAAAGACAGAAAGGTGAGCGCAAGGAATATTGCTTATTCTCGATGTCTTATGGAGGATTATAAGTGGCGATATCGTGAGACAAACAACAGTACTTTATTATTAATTCTATGAATGTTTCATTTAGGATTACACATTATTCGCTGTTTTCACATTATTCTGTCTAAGTTCAACTGGGACTAATTTATGCTCAAGCTTTATAGAGTCAATTTCCTTGGGCGATGTGGTTATTTTGAATCTTTTCATTTCGGTATACCTGTTACCCACCAATACCAGCCAGTAACCGCGTTACGTTCTTCTAGTTTATTCTAACAACAGGACCTGTTGTCAGTTTCATTTTCTTGCGGATCTGATTTTCTCGTAGACGGTTCTACTCCATCATGTCCTACTTCTTCTTCTTCTACAACATACTCCTCGGATTATTCTCCAGCATCATGCGAATTCTTATAGGCATGCTTTCAGGAGTGATATTCATCTCTCGAATCGACCGAACCTCACTTATGCAGGGATTCCAGACTTGGGACAGAGGTATGCAAACAAAGGAGGAGGAATGGGGATGAGTTGAAAGATGTTAGGAATTTGTCGCGATGGGCCATCACCAACTTGTTTAGACGTAAGCTAGGGAGACTGAATCAAATTGAGGAATCACTTAAACCCAGGTTAAACCGCGAAAGTGATGGACACAAGTATAAAAACATAGGAAAATTAACAAACAAAACGAAACAAATAGAACAACACAAGACAAAAAAACTGCAAGCAATAAAATAGTAATTTAGAAAAAACAACAGAGCAGCAAAAAAAATTATACTCCAGCTAACATCGGTCAGAAGAAGATGAAATCAATTGCCTGGAAGATCTCGTACCAATCTTTTCTCACAGGTCACCTTTTCAATCTGTTTTTTTTCTCATTTTAGTTCTTTCATGTGCATGTTTGTTTTGTTTTGTTTTGTTTTGAACTTTTCCTCCTCTCAGAATCCTATGATATCCTTTTTTTCTCCCTATTTTGCACTATTTTTCAGCCTTTGTGGCATATCTGGGTTTCATCCACGTACTGGTGGCTCACAGTCACCCCGTGATGCTGATGTTTTGCCAGCTGCTCATCAACAGCAACAGGGACCGTCAATGTGACACAGTGGGAGGGGAAGGTAAGTAAGATATCAGAGGACAAAGTGGATGTGGACTTACGGTTTTTTAAAAAATCGACACTTCGTCTCGATCTAAGAAATAAGAAAATGAAGATAATGGTATTGATAACAATAGCTATGATGACAGGAATGACATCGACGTATAGCAGTAATGATAATGATAATGGAGTAATGGCGATGACGATGACAATGACAACGAAAATATTTATGATAATACCTATCATGTTGATAATAATGATTAATATTATCATTATGATGGTGTTGGCGCTGGGTGTCGAGCACTGAAGATAATGCAACCTCGTTTCCTTTGCCTTTCTCCTTCGTTGGAGGTGGGGGGGGGGACCTCAGCTAGTAGAAAAGACCCTGGGAACGAGGTTGAAGTTAATGAAGTATAAGAATTACACATTTTCTTAGCTTTTGAATCATATTTCCAGCACACGAGCTGACACCTAAGAAAAATAGGGGGGATATCTACTTACGGGAGGGTGTTAAGTGGAGAGTTGATTGATCTTTTGGGAGTATAATTCTCCATTAAAGGATAATTTTTTTTTTATCTTTTTAACCCTAAAAGGACCAGGCCTTTGTGTACAAAGCTCGCATCCAGAAGATCAGAGGAGTTCTGTTGGTGAGTCTTTTGACTTCGCTCTATCCCATTTTTCGGAATAAGCATTGGCCGTCAATTGCGTTATGACCGGGACATCTAATAGCGCTATCACTTCTTTGTTTCTATCTTTTTGTTTGTTGGTTCGTTTATTTTTTTCAAAACACTGAACGTTATGTCTAGCTTGTCCAGCTTGTACCATTTGAGAAAAGTAGAGATATGAATTTCCGAATTTTGTTTGACTCGTTTTTTTTTCGGATTTCTGGTATTATTTCACGTTAAACGCCTTCAAAGTATATTGAAAAGTATAGTGAAATAGTCTCAAGAAGCGTTTATGAAATCTACCTAGCCTCCTTCGCAACCGTTGTTGGTCACGTCACGTCACGCAACGCGTTCTCTTGGAATGAAAAGAGCGTGTTGCCGTTACGGGACTAAACAACGGCTATGACGGAGACTAGTACTCAGCCTCCCTGGTTGTGCAGTATCACAGAGGGGTTAATTAGTTGACCTGACAGCACAATTCTTACGAACCATCCATGACCCTTTTTTCGTTTTCTAGTTTTAACTTTATTTTTTTTTTTCCTATATTGTTAAAGGTCATCCTCAGACCCGTGCATTGCGGCTGCCACGCATGCCTCACCAGGCGATCAACCGCTGGTTCCTTACTGTCACGCTCCTTCGTAATCCCTCTCTCGTCAAATATCGTCGGCAGGGTGCCAGGGAGGCCAAAAGATGTTGCGTTACTCTTGAAGATGCAAACTGTGGATCGTCGACATCGATCTGATCTTGATGGTTTTTTCCAAAATATTTCAGCCACTAATAAATAATAGTCGTGCCAGCTGAAGTAACAATGCAAAGGATTTTTAGTCTCGCTGGCCATTATTTTTGACTCCAGTATTATTAGCCCTACCTTAGTCTTGTGTGAGAGGTTTACATCTATGTATAAAGTCATTAGTAGCAGTTAATACCAACGTGTTTGCGCCTGCCTATTACTAGCGTATTACAATCGTTAATATGCCTTTTTTGTCCCTCACTCCTTGTGCTCCAAGCTTCTACTCCAAGCTCAAAGGCGTTTGATCAATATTTTTACGATTTTCTTTTCAACTGGTTGGAAATATACTCTTAGTCAGGCCAAAGAGGTCGTAGCTCGTCACGAACGAGGGAGAAAGAAAAATATTGACATCCCCTCTAAGGTTCGAATCCAAGGCTTTTGGATTTTATGATCTGAAAATCTACCACAGAGGTATCTTTCAACAACAAACATATGAAATACATATATATGAACTGCGGTTATGAAACGTATATGTGCACGATCCTTCGCAGTAAAGCACTATTTAAGCAATAGTGAAAATCAGACCTGAAACAAATTCAGGCCTGTACGGGATTCGAACCACTGACCTCTGCGATACTAGTGCAGCGCTCTACCAATTGAGCTAACAAGCCAACTGGGAGCAGGCCATCAAATTAATTCGACATAAACCCGTAGATGATAAATCAAACAACAAACATATGAAATACATATATATGAACTGCGGTTATGAAACGTATATGTGCACGATCCTTCGCAGTAAAGCACTATTTAAGCAATAGTGAAAATCAGACCTGAAAAAAATTCAGGCCTGTACGGGATTCGAACCACTGACCTCTGCGATACTAGTGCAGCGCTCTACCAATTGAGCTAACAAGCCAACTGGGAGCAGGCCATCAAATTAATTCGACATAAACCCGTAGATGATAAATCAAACAACAAACATATGAAATACATATATATGAACTGCGGTTATGAAACGTATATGTGCACGATCCTTCGCAGTAAAGCACTATTTAAGCAATAGTGAAAATCAGACCTGAAAAAAATTCAGGCCTGTACGGGATTCGAACCACTGACCTCTGCGATACTAGTGCAGCGCTCTACCAATTGAGCTAACAAGCCAACTGGGAGCAGGCCATCAAATTAATTCGACATAAACCCGTAGATGATAAATCAAACAACAAACATATGAAATACATATATATGAACTGCGGTTATGAAACGTATATGTGCACGATCCTTCGCAGTAAAGCACTATTTAAGCAATAGTGAAAATCAGACCTGAAAAAAATTCAGGCCTGTACGGGATTCGAACCACTGACCTCTGCGATACTAGTGCAGCGCTCTACCAATTGAGCTAACAAGCCAACTGGGAGCAGGCCATCAAATTAATTCGACATAAACCCGTAGATGATAAATCAGATACAATG